CCCGGAGCCCTATATATATTTATCAAATTTTTTTTTACTATGAGGGAGAGGGGGGGACGCTGGGGAGGGGGGGGGGGTAATGTAAAACACAGAATCCAGTTGGTCTCGCCTTAATATCATATCGATATGTATAAAATAATTATAAGCTTATGTGACGAAATTAATACATGATGAAGTCTTTATCACTCTTCTAATGAAATCTATAAACTTTATGACTCACAAATTTCATATAGTCAGGTTTCTTTATTAGTTGGGCCACGAATAAGTTTCACAATGACTGCTTAAATTGCCCGAGTTTAATTGATTTATTGTGCTTATAGGCTAAACTTAAGCGTTCAAACATGCCTCTAATCTGACTTTAAATTACTTCGCGGTTTACTGAATTACTTTTGACGGTTTTATAAAGTAAAACATGAACCTCCAGAAATCTTATTCTTGTGTCAGAAAATCGATACTTTTTTGATATCAGATATTTGAATGAGGTTTTTTGATATTTTGGATTATAAAAATAATAATAATAATAATAAAAAGTTTTTTCGACAATCGAAGGCGAATCCGGTTATACCTTAGGAAAAAAGTTTGAAGAGTTCAAAGTTAACTTGTTGAAGCTGGATTCGCTGAGTATGTGCAAAACACAGTTTTGACAGGGTAAGTATTCTCTCGTTGCCCATGTTTCGGCATAGACCGTTTTTCGTTGTTGGTTCATCGGTGCATGGTCCGGTATCTATATATGACTATATATATAGGTAGAATACTGGTACGTAGTAGAAAACAGATGATTATGACATATCAACGATCAATAAACTAATTATGAGCTCCGAAATCACCTGATCGTGAATTCTACCTCTCAGGAGATGGTATTATTCAATTTAAAGCTTCTTTAATAGGCTGCATCCCAAACTTACTATATATATATATATATAGTTTGAAAATCCAATTATTATTTACTAGATTTCGCGAAATGCCTCTAATTTGTCATAATACCAAACAATTTTGGCATCATCCACCTAGAAACTATAACCAGCTAATGTTTCATCCTATCGTAAGCACTAACCCTAACTTAAACGAACTTAAAGATTTTTTGTGCGCCACAGCACTGTCACGTGATGTGGGTTCATAGTGATCGAAATAACGCACGAGTATTATGGTAATTTTAGCTATTCTCATAACATAATGCGAATACGTAGCAATATTATTGAGATATGCTCAAGTGTTAATATTACTAGTAATGCTCAATTGCTACGATTGGTCAAAATAAAGATCTCAATCACCACTTGAGTAGATTTTAAAAACAAAACATAATAACAGCAATATGTTAGTGTGTCGATAACGAAGATCATAATAAAAAATATGAAAAGGCCCGAACATTAACTCTATTTACTTTAATAGTTATAAGTCAGTGCAAAAAAAAAAAAGGTGATTCGGGACAAAACGTTTTTTTGACTTAAATGATAAACTCGCTGATCATTTTTCACTATCTAAATTAATCTTTGGTTTAAATAAACAACGTGCCCTGTTTCATCTTCATGACAAGCACGTTTGATCGGTTAAAAATACTTTCCGCTAATTAAAATTTAATTCCCGACATATCTTGTTTATTGACTGAGACGCTTGAGAACGCCCTAAAACGCCTTCTGACAATATTCAAATGCTTTTTATCTTTATCAACTCCGGTTCATTTTTCCGTATCAGCAGCTTTCCAATAAAACTCAAACATCTTGCACCTATCCTCTATTCCAATTCCACGATTATAACAATAATCAGCTGCTTTTTTTGAAAATATTAGAATGCTTTCTACCTATTCTTATAGATTCCAATTCCATTTAATAATCTACTAACATCTCCCATTTTTGGTGATTTTTGATAATACTGTAATACTCGAATGCTTTGTTATTTTCCTTTTCAACACCTGGTAACAATATCCAACACTTTATTAATATTTTCAATTTTGTTAATTTGTCTGAATGCCTATTCAATAAAGTCAAATAACTAGTCAGTAAGCAGAATGTTAGCAGCAATTTCGCAGATGAGCAATTCAATACTTTCGGTAATCAAATAACCAAGCTGAAATATCGTGACTGTTGATTTTTAGCATTTTGACTAGTAAAGTATTCCATCAGAATCTCCAATATCATTCAAACACTGCGTTCATCTTCGCCAGCCCCAATTCCATTTCGATAAAAAACATCACGGTTTGACACATTCCTTGAGCATCACCTATATTGATAGCCTTGTGTTCTCCGATTCCTTCTTTATTAACTCCTATTCTAAAACAACAAAAATAATTGGCGCAAAATATTCCTGCATCATAATCTATGTCTGCAGTTTTCTTATTATAACACTCATCTTTTTCTCTTTTTCCAGTAACCAATCTACTAACTCCATCATGTCAGGGACTTTTTCTTTACTCATTTAATTTATTCGGATTGAGTATAAAAACTTTACATTAAAATAAGTTATCCAAAGTTATAATTTCTATTATTCTGATTAAAACTTGAGAGATCATTTCAATGTAGCTATACAAAACATGATTTTATTAATTGTCAGCAAAAATACTGCATATAAAAAACAGTATTATAAATAAAACTCTTTGATCGTCCATTTCATTTCACCCGAGATCGTTAATTATATAATGAAGTCAAACCCTTCTAAATGCATAGCCGAGGGGCCTATATGAAAAATTGAAAACCCTTGCATTTAGAGAGGTATTGCATTTAGGGAGGTAAAAATCTATAAGTATCATATGAATTGGGGAAAAACAAGGCCATGCATCTAGTGTAGTTTTTCATTCATCATTTGAGGTTGCATTTAGAGGAGTTTTGTACTTATTAATTTACATTATTTATTAAGTATAATGGTTACTAAGACCGTTTGAGTTGATATTTCATCATTCTCCTCAAATTAAAGAAGTAAAAGTAATAAATTGATCGATATAATGGCCGGGCATGATTACCAGAAATTTGCTGTTTTTACATTCGGTATTTTTCGATACATTATATTTTGTTATGTTTATTAATTTCTTCTCTCCCCCACGTAAGAACGAAGTACAGTAAAACTTCCAGAAGTGCACCCTCTATAAGTGCATACACACTCAAATTTCAGCCCAAATATATACATAACCTCCACAAATGCACTTTTTCTTATTGACATTGTTAAATTTTAGGAAATAGCAACTTATTTATTTACTCTCGTTATAGTGTGATCAGTTCCATAAGTAAAATCAGCGAATCTTATTTTATTTTTCCGATTTATAAGTAAAAATGTTATTGAAATAATACCCCGATCACTATATCAAGATCACGGGAGTATTAATTAATAATACCCTGACCGTATGTGAATAAGCGGAAACGGAGTTTCCGCTAATTCCCAACGGATCAGGATATTATTATTACAAATCCTACTTATTTTCAAATACGTCACTTATTTGTTAATTTTGAAACCCCTATTAATAAAATTTTTAAAAAATTCACCATATCGAGAAAATTTTATATAGACTGGCTTTGAGCTTAATTTCATTATATCGAGAATTGAGAGTGAGTTGTATAGCGTAAATTCTCGAAATAACGGATTAGTATGTCATTTCGAGTACACTAACAGATTGATTTTTTCTAATCTGAGCAGGTGCAAGCAAAAAAGGTTAGTTTGTTTTTTGGTTGCTAGTTCTCACGGTTCTTTTAGTTTTAATAACCATACTTAAACTTATTACAGAAAGCCCAATTCATGTTTTTACAATAGCATACTTACTTTATATTTATTATAGGAACTTGAATGTATTAATTCAAGTACCAAAAAAAAAAGTAAGTAATTTGATATTAATATTTTAATATTTACAGTTTTTTTAGTTTTCTTAATTTTGTATTTTAATTTCAGAGTGTCTGAATCTGTAAAGTGTTAAAAAAAAAAAAGGTTAGCAGTTTATCTTGATTTTTGTTTTGAATGTATTGAGAAGGTGCCACAGGGTTGCATTTTTAGTCGTTATAAGGAACGAAGATAAATTTGACTATATTCTAAACCTAACACACTAACTCTAACCCTAATGCACTAACCTTACCCTAACTATCAGGCATGTGCCAACTCTAATCATCAGGCACATGCTAACCTTATAATATATGATTTGTTTATTTTTGTATATATTAATTATAATATAAATAGTTATATATCTTATAATTTTTCCTTTCAAATTTCAATTATGTTGGCAATTTCAAAACTTCTAAAAACTCCAACTGAATATAAAGATATTGTCTAATATCTCCAATCAAAAAAAATACCTGAAACTATCTATAACTCAATGCCAAAATGTAAATTTAAATGGTGTTGTAACAAATTCGAATTAGATAAAAATAAGATATTATATTTTTTTGCTGTTTTAAAAATGGTAAAATATTATCTAATAAATGTTGTATAGTATTAAAATATGATGTAGAGTTGTGTGATTTATTGTTAAAAAATTTTCATGACCAATCTAATCATAGAAGTTATTATAAAACATTTTTTGCTTTTTTAAAAAAACACATTAGTATTATACAAACTAAGATTCAAGCTTATATTAATGAATGTTTAGTTTGCACCATTAACTCTTTTATTAAAGAGAAAACTGATATAGAATCAGTTATTTCTGTAGCATCATGGTGGCACATCCATATTGACTTAATTGACTTATATGATTTTACAAATGTTAATTATAGGTTTGTGTGATTACTTATCTGTGTTTATATATTTTTGAAATATTTTATTGCAATTCTTATAAAAAACAAAGAAGCAGATACAGCATTGATTATGGTTTATAAAATTGCTGTAGAATAAGAATAATCATCTTTAAAAAATAATTTAGGTCAACATATTAGATACTTTCGTAATGTATTATAATTTAACTATGTATATAGCTTATAAATATACATTTTATGAAGTTATATTTGGCTAGAAGATGCACTGTGTATATGAAATATCTAATACTAATCAAGGTAATAAAATTGATAAAATAGATATAAATAGTTTAAAAGCAGTTAAATAGATAAAATAGATAAAGTAAATAAAGCAGATGAAGTAAATAAAGCAGATGAAATGAATGAAGCAGATGAGGCAGATGAAGTAGATAAAGCAGATAAAGCAGATAAAGCAAATAAAGCAGACAAGCAGACAAAATAAACGAAACAAATAAAGCAAATGAAAATGATTACAAGATAGTTGTAGATTAATATATACTATGAATATCACAAATTTAAGAAGTTAGATTTAGAGCTAGATAGTATAAAGTTAAGTAGTATAAATTAATTTTTTTTTTAGTCTATAAATTCTATACTAAAAAAATATTACAAGAAGCTTTGCCAACAAAGAAGCATTTACAGAAAAAAATAGCAAATAATATAATCAAATCAGGAACCATAGTTAGAATTGCACTGAATCATAATAATAATCTACAGATTTGAAAAAGAAAATTATAACTAATATTTTTATAAGAAAGTATCTTTTAAAAGACTAGCATCAAATAATCATACAGCTATTATCAAAATAGATAAAAAAGATATATTTATACTAATAAAACAGATCAAAGTTTTAAAATAAGATTTTTTTCTTTTTAAAAAAGTTTTTTTTTTCTTTTAAAAAAAAATTTTTTTCTTTTAAAATATTTTTTATAAAAGATTTTTTTTTTAAGTTTTTTTTTAAACTAATTTTTTTTGAATTTTTTTTTGTATATCACATGATCAATATAACATAATTTATTATATAATTTAAGATTATTAATAATAACTAAGAATTTTATTAAACGAGCAATTTATAACACTTGTATAGTATAATACAACAATTATGTCATACTATTTTGCACTACTCAAATTGCAACTATATAAAAACTAAAACTATCTAATTGACCTTAACTAACAGCAAAATGATAAAATCTAAAACTCCCTAACTCTAAATAATAGCAAAATGATGAAATTTAAAACTTTCTAACTCTAAATAATAGCAAAGCAATAAAATTTAAAACTCTCTAACTAGCAATAAAACTGATGAATTCAAGATGATTATAGCAATCACCAACAATAGCAATAAAATTGAAAACAAATCAGCGATATAAATATCTAATGAAGAAAGCAATTTATTTTAATACTTCAATAACAACAACACTAACAATGAAGCTAATTACTATCTAATAACTAGAGGTCTGATCCGATGAATAGTATATTCGAATATTCATTGAATATTCGAATATTCGAATAATAATTTTTTCACCAAATTGAATATTCGAATAATTAATTTTTTCACCAAATATTCAATGAATATTCGATGAATATATATATATTTAAATCTAAGCCACAAAAAATATTTACAGAATATTCATTGAATATTCAATGAATGTTTTTTGTGGCTTAGCTAAGTACTGTTATACAAATTTTATTTTTAAATATTTTATCTTATCCTACACCCTACATGTTGTTAATCTATAAAAAAAAAGGAGTTTTTATTGGTGCTATATTAAAAATAGGGTTCTAATATTAGAATCCTTTTTTAATATAGCACCAATAAAAACTCCTTTTTTTTTATAGATTAACAACATATAGGGGTGTAGGATAAGATAAAATATCTAAAAATAAAATTTGTATAACAGTACTTAGCTAAGCCACAAAAAACATTCATTGAATATTCAATAAATATTCAGTAAATGTTTTTTGTGGCTTAGCTAATATTAAAGCTACTTCTATCTAAAACTTTTTTTTGTACTAAGTTAATCACCTTTGGGCCTCTAATTGAAGTTGTAAAGCTCATCGAGACGAATCTAATAGTAGTTGAATCATTAAAATTGGTCTTGTGAATCACGAGATATCTTCAAAAAACATTTCACTGACTATGTAAACTTCTCTTTTAACAATACTATTGTTAAAAGAGAAGTTTACATAGTCAGCGAAATGTTTTTTAAAGATATCTCATGATTTACAAGGCCAATTTTAATGATTCAACCACCATTAAATTTGTCTCGACAAGCTCTACAACTTCAATTAGAAGCCCAAAAGTGATTAACTTAGTACAAAAAAAAGTTTTAAATAGAAGCAGCTCATATTCCAAAAACTTCAATATCTATATACAGTATAAACTGCATCACATTACATTATGAGCTTTTTAGTTGAGTGGCAAATTATCAATTAATATAAAAACTTATCTTGATTTATAGATTAACAATATATAGAGTGTAGAATAAAAAAATAAGATTCAATAAAAAATTTTATTTTTAATATAAAGTTAGAATTATTATAATATAATATTCATTGAATATTCAGTGAATATTTGAATATTCATTTAAAATTTTCAATGAATATTCGAATATTAAAAAGATTGAACAAATGAATATTCAAATACAAATTTTTTGACCGAATCAGACCTCTACTAATAACAATGAAACTAACAGTAAGTGTTTTTATTACTCCAATAATGATAACATAATAACAAGGGCATTGTATAATGATACCAGAAAAGTGATAAATAGAAAACAAAAGAAAAAAATATTAATAAAAACAAAAAAAAAAGAAAAACAAAATCAAAACAAAAGAAAAGAAGAAATCATATAAACCTAATATATCCAAAAATAGAAATTATGAAAGTTCTCAAAACTGACCTATTTAGAAATAAAAGCATTAGTAACATATTCACAAAACAAAAACTGCAACAAAAAAAATGAAGTTATACTCGAATTCACAAGTCATACACTCTACAATCTCAAAAAACTTAGAGATGTCCTAAAAACTAGAAGCATTAGTAATGTGTTCACAAACAAGAAAGAAATAAGAACAACAAATATAATATACAAAATCATACTTCTTAAGATTTTCAAGACTAACAGTTTCTAAAAAGTTTAACAATTTTAGAAAAATGAAATGAATATTAGTAACATATTCACAAATAAAAAACAAGACAATAAAGAAATAAAAAAAATGTTCTGAATACTAAAACAGATGACAAGTGCTCACAATTTTTATAAAAGTCCTAAAAAAAAAGAACAATAATAAGTAATATATACATAAGCAAGAAAACAAGAACAGTACTTTAATTTTAAATTATAAACTAAACCTTTTTTTTTTTTTTTTTTATTTTGAATTTGCTGTATACATGATAAGATTAGTTACAGATTTGTATCAAGATGATATTAAATTTTAACTATTTATTATATCTTGTATAACCACCTAGGTGTAGCAAATCACCTCTTAATTTTCTATTTATAAACTAATTTAAGACTAGCTATCATTAGTTATAGAAGGGGAAAGAAGAAGCCCAAATAAACTAAACCTAATTCTCTTACATTGTTTAATATTGTCTATATAATGACGCATTAGCAACAAAACTAAGTACCAAGAATGGCTTCACCAATACAAAAAGTGATACTTAAATGGTATATCCAATAATAACACAAATTTATATCAACAATAGTCAACAACAACTGTAAACGCAATCTACCAAAACATCTACAACAAAGCTGAAATTGTGATATTAACTCTAAACAATGGCTTTGATAATGATGACAGTATAATAGTGAAGCTGAAATTGTGATACTAACACCAAATAACAGCTCTAATAATGATAATGGTACTAATTTCAAGTGAAGATCTGAAAACTATTACAAAAGAAAAAAATATTAGTGACTACTATACAGGTATAACATATTGAAAAAAAATTAACTGATTTAATCAATTGATGATTACTATTTATACTTTGTGATTAGGAGTGCATCAAAATGCATGATGCACCAAATTAAAATTCTTTTTTTTTTTTAAAAAGATTTTATATATTTTATATAAGTTAATAAATTTGTAACCAAGAGGTGTGGTGACTTAGAGTAGTAGTTAAGTTGTTACCTCCTAAGTGGCAGGTCTAGAGTTCAAATCCTACTAGAAACATTTTTAGAAAAATAGGCCTGTGTACTAGTAACAATTATTTGATGATCGGTTGGGTATATCACTTGTAATCTTGTTACTATCATCTTAAAATGGAAGCTCTTGGGCGATCCAAATCCAAGGAACTAAAATAATTGAAACCTGTTTAGCAAGATCTGAGTAAAGAGGTAGTGATGATCTTTGATGATACTGTGGAAAGTCAGAAACTGGAAACTGAAGAACCAGACAAAAATTCTGAGGCAAGAAGAGTTTATCAACCTGGTTGCCAAAGTCACATCAGAGGAAAAGGTCCTATGCTACAGAATTAGGAACCAAAAGAAGTAAAACCAGAAGGCACTTAAAGCCTAGATATAATAACCCATTTGAGCTAACTGGTTTGGTAGTTAGAGAGGAATTGGTATAAAGACTGGCTTGATGTGAGTATCAGGATCAAAACGAACCTTGCAAAGGCCAGAGGGTTCAGTAGTGTAGCCTGCCCATAAAGGTTTAGAACCTATCTGATAAATCTATTTGCAAAAAGAATTGGTAGTGTGGTCTGACCATAAAGGTATAGAATCTATTCGGCAAGACTTATCTAAAAAAAAAACTAGATAATACAATAATAAGTGGATACCAGACTGCTCTAGCAGATAATGCACTCGAGGATGAATTGGTTAACCATGCCGGTAGTCCTATAGGTAGCTCATGACAATCTTGAAACTTAGACTAACTTATGTATCGCATATTCTGGATGAGGTTAGATGGATTAGCATAGAAAACTCAGATCAGAGGATTTAATTAGATAATCTAAATAATAGTGGATTACAGGTATGGCATCTAATATAGAACCTAGTAATAGGCATACTACTTAAATTAGGCGCTCAAAAGGCGCAGATATAACTAGAATGTATTCTCATCAGAATGTACTTGTCTAAAGCCCCTGTGATAAGGGCACCACATGATTCTACAATCTAATAAAAGCGAAAAACCAAAGAGGCTGACCTTGACTATAAAAAAAAAATAAATAAATAAAATAAATTTGTAACCATGGTTACTATAACTGCTGCATTTCAATTAACCAATCAAATTCTAAGATTAGATATAATGTTATATATTTAGAAAGAGTCAAAACAAATATTTGTTTTGCTAAAAATTGCTTTTAACTTAAAATTTTACATAGAAAACCATCTTTCAAGTTCTAACAAAAAAAATTCCTTGCTAAATTTTAATAAATTATAGTCTCTAAACTCTAGCCTCACACTAACATTAACCTTAAATTTCACAGTT